CTGCTCTCACATGGGCACTTAATGGTGTCAGGATGTCAATTTAATTTTGACAGGGCCCTATAGATAGAATTTTCAACGTTCTATTCTTAGTTAATATGGATGGGTAAGAGCTTGTTTGAGGTTTTTTCCCCTTCTGTTTTCATGGAAACACACTTTCCCATTAGATTGGAGGTGACTAGTACATTTGTAAAACACTCTAAGCGTTGCTCAAGACCTACTATTAACTGCCTCCAAATGACTTCATGATTGTTGTTATCTATAATTTCTGTGATGCTGTTAAGCATCTGAAGGCACTGGGATCTTTGTTCTCACCAAGAAATGGTTTCTTCCAGTTTATGTTGGTGTAGTACCACTTGCACTTTAGATGTAACAAGTTTTGGCTATAAATCTATTGTTTTTGCTTTAAAATTTTTAATATTTATTTTATTTATGCATACAAGAACTGGGGTACAGGCCAGAATTGTGGGGTGGTGGTGAGAGGAACCACCAGAGATAGAGTGGGGAGCAGAACAGTTGGATTGACTGAAACAGACTGCTGAGAGGAACAGCGGGTGAGACAGGAGAGGTCTGCTGCACCATGTGGGTAGCTCCCTGGCCATGTAGGTCAGCTCCCTGGCCGGGGATTGAACACATGTTACAGTGGCTGGCAACAACTTGAGAGTGCTGAGACTTAACCCTTGTGCCACCAGGAAGAACCTGTTTTTTGCTTTTTAGATTATATTAAAATCTGATGATTAGTAGGATATGAGTTTTTTTGTTTTTGTCCTAGAGTAGAGTAGACTGAACTATTCCCAGCACTCTTGAATTAGCCATCTATTGCTGTGTAACAGATGATACCAAAATGAAGTGGTTTAAAACAGTGGACTTGCATTATGCCTCACAGTTTCCTCAGGGAAACTGGGAGGAGCTTAACTGGGTGGTTCTGGCTCAGGGTTTTTCATGAAGTTATGTCAAGGTACTGAGGTGCCTAAAGCCTTAATTAGGGCCAGACTGGGATTTCCAAGATGATTCACTCGAACAGTTATTGAATGGAGGCCTATGTTTCTTGCCATGTAGGCCTCTGCTTATATGACTTTGTGGCCTGGCAGCTGTCTTCCTCCAGAGTGAGTAGTCAAAGGGGAGACCAAGGAGGTTGTAATGCTTCTTACAACCAAGTGTCAAAAGTCACAGGCTATCACTTCTATTATTCTATTTGTTCGAAGACAGTCATGAGGTCTAGCTCATACCTAGGGAAAGAAGGGGGGAATTAAGTTCCACATCTTAAAGTGAGGTATAGCAAAGAATTTGTGGACATATTTTAAAATCATTACAGTTCCTCTTGATTTTCCCCTTTAATGACTGGGTATCTGCAATAACCACACCAAACTCTAAGGTTTAGTCTGTCAGCAAATGCACAGATGAATACTGCTCCCTCAGTCTTGGGGTAACTCATTCAGAATTTCAACCTACCTACACACTCAAATAGGTGCTTCCCCAACACTCCAAAAGACGGAATGTTGGTTTAGTCTGAGAGAGCCACATCTCTGCTTTTGGCTTTTCAAACAATAGTCTCCATACCCTTTATGAATGTGGAGGTAGCCAGGTGGTATCTCATCCAGTGGCATGCTCAGAATGTGGGACACCAGCAAGAACTGGTTTTGAACAGGAAGAGAAGTATTTGGTTACACTCACCTGAACTCATAGGTCAGATACAGGCGACAGATGGTAAGACCTGGGCAAGAAGTTAGCTGCTTCTGTTCTGCTGCTAGTTGGCACAGCCCAACCACAGATGGTGAGGGAGGCAGCGAGCAAACTCCAGCCCTAGGATCAAGGAAGTGCCAAAGACTCCCGCTGAGAAGATCCACAGCACCACTGGGAGATGTGCAGGATCCACAGGCAGGATTCTCAGCTTGGATCTGGAAAGCAGAGACCCTGACGGTTTGGGCTCCATGGTGGCTCTTAGCACACAACATGAGGAAGGGAGCACTTGGTAGCAGATGGAGAGGTTACAAGAACAGGCCATAGAGTGAAGCATGAAGCCATAAAGACAGATGGTGAGGGAGGTGCCCTGTCTGTGGTGGCTTACTGCCTTTTCAGTACTCATCCTGCCTGTGTACCCTTCACACAGGGCCTCTGCAAGAGCTTCTACTTCCAAAGCATCTTAATTTAGAAGTCAAATATAAGTGTTCAAAGTTTTCGTCCAGACTGAGAGCACTTCATTGCTTTCCTATTTTCTTACATGCAGGAACACCTGGGCTTCTGATATGCTAATTAATAAGGGAATCAAAGAATGGTACAATTTATGAAACTGGTCATTGGAGAGAACATGCCAGATAAGGATAGAGTCAAGAATATTTTCCTTCTGGTACATTCTGCCATTAAGATACCAGAGCAAGAGTAAAGGAGGCACAAAACAGAAAAAACACACATTTGTACTTCAAGGTGTAGACGGACAGCATATGTCACTTCCCTACTATAGAAAATCGGATGGCTCTGCTGCTTCCATCTTTAGACCCAGAGGGGAGCGGTCTGCCTTTAGAGGACTTAGCTCTCCTCTAGCTGCACTTGTCCACAGGAGCAAGAGTCCATTAGCTTAAGGAATGTGGCCATTCAGAGTTTAGTTAAACCCCCAGACCTCACTGCAGAAGCCAGAATTCTCTGCCTCAAACTTTGAGAGAATATGGGCACTTTCCCCTTATATCCTGCGACATGCACCCCTAGACCTGTGGAATAGACAAGAAATGACAGTTTCGTAGATGGAAAAGTGGGAATGGAATTTGAACATGTGGGCTGGAGAGCCCATTGAGAGGAGCTGAACTGGCTGTGTGGGGACCAGCCCTCCCTGACTTGCCTTTTTCCAGCAGGGAATTCTAAGAAGTTCTGGAATTATAAATTCAAGCCTCCTCTTCCAAGTTGTTATGACTCTATATTTGTCAAGGTAAAAAGGCTATAATTTAAAAATTTTGCAGTTTGTTACTTTGTGTTATACTTTTTACATATTTAAGCATTTGCTGTGTGGGTCTCCACATGTAGCCTTTTGTGGGTTTTATACATGTCAGGGTTGGTTCTGCCTCCAGACTTACTACATAGTCAAGTTGAGTCAGCTTGGCCTGGTTTTTGAGGCATTTTACTATTTGGCTCCTCTCTAATCTTAATGTCCAGTGCTTTTCTGCAGCAGTGTACCAGCAACCAAAATGGTCTACCCACAGCAAGGCTCAGCCTGGCTTTCCTCTGTGGTCAAGTTCACACAATTTTCCCCTGAAAGGCCTCTGTTTCTGCTCTGAATTTGTATGGGCCAACCTACTATTTTAAGACTCAGTCACGGTCACGTCTTCTCCCTCTGGACTCTTTCCATAGCTTTTGTGGGAGCCACTCATTGGTACTCAACATGTACAAGAGTGTGTGGCCATTTTTCTTATAACACACAAGGTGTGACTATAAGATAAGGAGACATTAATATGCAACAGTTTTCAAACCACGAAAGGGAACCAGAAAAAGTAGTTAGAGTCAGGCAAACGCTGTCAGGCAGGTACCCAAGAAGGAGATGCCAGCATTGTCAAAAGGCCACAAAAAGGTCATTGAGGAGGATGCCCCCGAAAGGCCCTTCTTAGTCCTTTAAAAAAGAGTTCGTTTATGACCACTGTAAGAACAGAGTGTGTCGGTGAAAGTAACTTAGTAGTGGGAAAAATGAGAGATGAGAAAAATAAGAGATAAAATACACAGCATATGCAGTGTATTTTAAGGAGCATGTTTCTGAGAAGAAAGGAGGAAGGGTAGCTTGAGAAGTGGTAGAGGTAGGTTACTTCATTCTGTTCAAAGGTCAGGGTAGGCAGGGTGTGTTCGTGGGAGACAAGAGCTAGCATGGAGGGAAAAATTGATAATGGGGAAAGGAGAGTTATTTAAACAAAATCTGGGCCTGGGGGCCTCCCTGGTGGCGCAAGGGGTTGAGCGCAGCACTGTGAAGCTATCTGCAGCCACTGCAGCACGAATTCGATCCCTGGCAAGGGAGCTACCCACATGGCGCAACAGACCTCTCCTGACTTGCCTGCTGCTCCCCTAAGCAGTGTATTTCAGTCAGTCTGCCTGTTCTGTTCCCCACTCTGTCTCTGGTGAATGCTCGCATCTCCCGCACCTCTGGCCTGTACCCCAGTTCTTGTATGCATAAATAAATAAATCTTAAAAAAAAAAAATCTGGGCCTGGCTGACATCCTGGTCACTGGTGCGTGGTTAACCTTAATGAGAAAGGGGCTTCTCACTGAGGACGATGGTGGTGGTGGTGGTGGGGGAACCAATGAATGGAGGACACTGCAGAATAGGAGTAATAATGAAGAGACTGGATTTAAAGGTGAAGAAATTGGCTGTCATAGAAGTGAGGCTGAAAGCCCAAACTTTCAGGGGCGGGCCCAGATTTCACATAATCATATTCTTTGTTTATTCCTTTCACCTTTATTCAGTGCCCTGCGTATGTATGCCCAACAATGGAGTCTACAGATACACGCCTTTTCATGCGATTTGGGGATTTGTTATGCTGGAGACTCAAGTGAGATTTACTTCGAAAACTTTAAGAAGAAATAAAACGCCCACAGAAGAGGCTACATAGGCAAACAGAAGAGGGTCCTCTGTCAGATCAGACGTCTGAAGTCGGGGGTTGGAAAACACCTGCACCTCACCAATGGCACCCCGTTTGAGATGGAGAGGGAGAAGTGACCCAGATGGGGAAAGAAGATTTTGACTGCAGTAACCCCACGAGGGTACCCCTTCAACGAGAGGAGGCCAACATTCTGCGCACTTGAGGCCGCGCTGTAACCCAGGGTAACAGCGCCTCAGCCTATACCGCCGGGAGACTGGCTTCCTTCCTGAAGCACGTTTACCTGGGCTGCACCGGGACACACCACCTCCGCGGGAGAACGTCCACAGCCCCGACTACTTAAGGTCATTGGTACCTTCGCCTCCAGTTTATTGATGAGGAGCGGTCAGGGCAGGAGAAGCTGTGGGCGGGGCCAATTACCTTTTCTTTTTTGCTATTGGCCGTAACGTGCCCCGAGTCCCACCTTCCTCGCAGCCGCCAATAGGCTCTCAGGGCTGTCACTCGCGCTGCCGCCCCGCCCCGCCGTGGCTCCGCCCCTCGCCGTGGCGCGGATCTCGCGGGAAGAGCGGCGGCCACGGCTGGGGCTCGGTCTCCCGGCTGCGCGCGGAGCGGGCGGGCTCTCCTCACACCAGCGCTTCCTCGCGGAGAGGCTGCAACTGCGGCAGCCGCAGGCCTGGCCGCCCCTTCTCGTGGCGCGGGCTTCTCTTCCTCGGTCCGCTCGGGTCCGCTCGCCCCCCGACGCTGACCAGGTGAGGAGGCGCGGAGCGCGTCGCCGCTGAGGAGGCGCCGGGAGCGGGACGCGGAGCCGCGGGCGGGCGGGCGGGCTCCGACGGGGGCGGCTCCGGGGGCGGCGCGGGGCTGCCTGGTGGGCGCGGGGCTCGGCGGGCGGGAGCGCAGGGGGCTCGGAGGCGGTGCCGCGGCATCGGGCTGCGGCCGCCAAGGGCGGTGTAGCGGCCGCCGGGGCTTCTCGGGGAAAGGGGGCGGACTATTGGGGGGCCCTGGGGGCTCCCGACTTGCGGTGAGGTGGGTGGCGGCTTCCAGGGTCCCAGGTGCTCGGGGTCGCGGGAGATTGATGAGTGACCCGTGTTCCTTGAGGCGGGGAGCGGGGTCCCGGGACAAGGGGTTCGTTTATCGGGGTCCTGGGCTCTTTGGGGCCAAAGGGTGTAGTTTCGCAAGGTCCCGGGTCTCCAAGGGGCAGATGGTTGAGGTCGGGCCGATCCGCTGAGCGGGACTGGGCGTCAGTTTCTCGTGTCTGGGGTGAGGCAGCAGTGTATTTGGGGTCCGGGGAGAAGGGTCTGTTTAATGGGGTCTCGGAGCCGGAGTGGGATGCCTGCGTCCGGCTTCCGCGGCCGCTTGGTGGGCTGCCGGGGGGTGGGTGTCTGCGGGCGCCGGCGTCTTCCCTGGGATTTCTGCTGTGCCCAGAGGGGGGCGGTAACTCGGCCAGGTTTCCAGTGTTTTCGGGGCGGCTGGGTGAGGTAGCAGGTCCCCTGGCGACTTGGAGTGGAGACGCTGGGTCCGCCCCGGGCGCGGGGGGCTGCTTGGGTGGCATCCTGACCCAGGGGAAGCCTGTGGCTGGGCGGCATCCTGGAACAGGTCTCTCTCTCCCCAGCTGACATGTGCTCGCTGCTTGGTTGGAGAATTGATCTGTGTGGTTGCCTAGTTGGAGAAACCACGGGCTGCTTCTGCAATTTTCTTTTCTCTGCCCTGGGATCCCCGTGAGGGCGGGGGCCGTGCTGGTCTAGCTGCTCTGGGAGTCACGCAGTGGCAGCACCTTAGGTGGTCACTGTCGACTAGAAGGCGAGCGTGTCCTCTGGGTGATTGTGGGAGCTGCCAAGGGTGGGGAAGACTGTGTGGTTTTGGCTTCCCTTCCTAGGGGTCGGCTTTGCTGATCTGCATTATTAGCTCTGTCCTGAAGTCTTGCCCGAGAGTTAGGCAGGTAGTGCTGGGAAGTGTGTTCTGGCTTCTCCCCGTCCTTTGAAAAGCATTTGTGGAGAGGCAGGACTTCAAGTTCAGCTTGCAGACAATGTATTGGAATTTGAAGTCCTAAAGCTAGAGCTCTACGAAACGTCATTTGAAGCCTGTAAGGATGGCTAACAGGGCTCTTGTAGATAATCCTGCTGAGCACTTTTATTATAAAAGGAACGATTAGCTTTGATTCTTAAGTAGAGTTCTTGGTAACTAGTTCAGGACTAAGTGGTATGACATAGAATGACATGTGTGGGTAAAGAAATGATTAGGTCAGGAAGTTTGTGCAGTAGTTAATTTATTATAGAGGCCTGTAAAAGACATTTGATGTGACAGACAGTGAAGCCCATACTAATAGTAAAATTCTGTAATTTTGGGTAAACTGACAAGTTGACTGGATGCCAAAGTAAAGAATTGTGCCTGCCTATGTTTTTTTCTCAGTGACAGGTTTTTTAAAATGACATTTCTTTTGCTCTTGAAACCAGAAAGACTAGGGATAATAAAGTTTAATCTTTGACATTTGCAATCATTAAAAAAAAAAAAGCAACCACCAAAGGATAGCTACATAGCAATATTTAATTCTTTAGAGAGCTTAAGGTTTTTGCTTTGTTTTATTTTGATTTTGATTCCAACCAAATATGTCAGTGAGAGTGGTCACTTGAGTAGATATATTTGTTGAAACTCCAATCAGGAAACCTTAAGTGGACCTTTTTTCCATTATTTTTGAAAGACTGATGATTAATTAAGCAGATTTCGGTAATTTAAAAACTCAGCTTTCTTAATTTCTAAGTATACTGATCAATCAACAGTTATTTGATTATCTGCTGGGTGTCACAGTACCTTAAGTATGATGATTTCAACTCTCATGTAACCTACATAAAGTGAGAAAGGCAACAAATAGATAAAATAAGTACTTAAAATAATTGAGATGCTGATAAGGAAGAAATATACTTGGGTACTTGGGGTTCAGCTCACTTTTTTTTAATCCCCCTATATGATGAAATAATTGGTGTCAGTCTTTATAACCAAAAACTAAGCAAGAAAATAATCTGTCTTTTGAATTACTAAAAAAGATTAAGTGATCATCTGAGTTTGGGAGTTAAATATATCTATATATTGACTGAGGCATAGCACCTTTTAAGTAGGCATAAAAAAGTGTTTTATGATACACATGAAACTGTTTTGGGGGCTTCTTCAAAGGAGAGTTGCAGAGGCAGGGAAGAGAGCTGTTAATTTTATGCTTTTGTATTATTTGCATCTATTTCAATGAGCAGACATTACTGAAGTGTAGATTAGAGAAGACTAGAAACATTTTGGTCATCATGCAGATTTGTGAAATGTACAATATTTATAAGACTTTTATCATTATTGTCACTTTCACTGTGTGCAATAGTGAAGGAAAAAATGTAATTCAAGTATCAAAAAATCATAGGGGTGGGGGCCACAAGGAAATAAGAGACTGAGACCTAAGTAAAATGTTAAAATATATTAAAGATGTTGGATGTTTGATTAGTTAGATGAAGATAGATCGATCGTAAGCATTTCTTTCAAATTTAATTGTTTCCTGAATTTGAGAAAAGAACTTTTTAGATTCCCTAGAGAAAAATACAGTAGCAGGGAAGAGCTTATTATGGCACTTACGGTAGAAGTTTCTTTTTGTCAAACATATGCACATCTAGTAGATATGTTATTCTTGTGAGGCATATGAAACAAAAATAGTTTTAAAGTTCATTATTACACTGCTGAAAATGACAATACCAGAGTGTCTTTGGTATTGATAACCCAGTGTCTGGATCGTCATTCAAAATTCTAGACTCATAAAGGTGATATACTAAAGCAGTTTCTAGGAAATCATGAAACATGAATTCCGGTCTTCACTGTGCTTATAACTGTATGAACTTGGGTGATTACTTAGTCTCCCAGAGCCTTAGTTTCCATATAGATGAGCTTAAAGCAAGAGAAGTCTCTGTTAATAATAAACATAGGCTCCAATTTCAGGGACTGTATTGCATTAGTTTTTAGTTTGGAGATCTGCAGTTTTTATAAGAAGGGATAGATGCCATAAATTAGCTAGTTCTAAACATATAGCTAGTTCCATGTAATTTTCACATGTCACAGCTAATTTTAGAAGCCTTTTCCTTTGTAAGACATATATGTGTGAAATATTTAACTCCAGAATATACATTCATAAAGGTAAGTGATTTCCTTTTGATAATTTAGCTTTATCTGTTAAAACATTTTTATTTCTGGTCCCTGCTTCTGTAATAGAGTATCTATATGATAATGTATTTTCCTTATTTAACTCTGAGTGTAGAATGAGGTCTCTAGTGGTTGACCCCCCTTTAATCCATCCTTTACACTACTGCTAGGGTGATTTTTCTAAAATGTAAATCTGCTCAGTGCTTCTTTCTTAAAGCCCGTACTTCTCTCTTACCTCCACTCTTTATTCCTAACTCTTTATTATGATGGGCCCTTTATATTCTGGGTCATTGCCATTTCCCCACCTATATCTCAGACTCCAGCTGTCCCAGTACAATTAGTTCACTGAAAGAGCCATACTGTTTACTGACTTCAGGCCTCTCCTGTATTCTCCCTGCTGTTTAGAATGACTTTCTTTCTCCTGTCTTTCTGACAAAGTCTACTGATTTTTCAAGATACAACTTAAGCACTATCTGATTATATATTTGAATTCTCAATGCCAAAATTAATGTTTACAAAATGTCTGAGATGAGTTTAGCCCACATTTCAGTATTGTCCTATTTTTATAAATTTTTTGGCTTTCTCAATTATTGATTAATGAAGCTGGAGTTCTTTGTATTTAAGAAATGAGACTCCTAGCACTATAGTAGTTAATTGTTGCAGAATTTTGAGGCAACCACTGCTTCCTAATCCTAAAATTGCTGGGAGAGTTATGAACTAGATTGAGTATTTCAGATCTTGGAAATGAGTGATTTGTAGATACTTATCTTGGCTTCTTTCTTTATTGGAAATGATTGTTTCCAGTGTGTGTGATTTTTTCACATGGGCTTAATAAGTGCTTTACATACATTACCTTTTTTTTTTTTATTTTTATTTTTTTAGAGGCATGCTTTATTTATTTATTTTGTTTGTTTGTTTTGTTTATACATGCACTGGGTACAGTCAGAAGATCGGGAGGGTGAGAGAATTCACCAGAGCCAGAGCGGGGAGCAGAGCAGGCAGAAGGACTAGAGTACACTGCTGAGGGGAGCAGCGGGCAGCAGGAGAGGTCTGCGCGCCATGTGGGACCCTCCTCCGGTGGCTGGGGAGCAGCCGGGGATCGAACCAGCGCTGCAGAGGCTGAGTGCAGCTTCGTAACCCAGCGCTCAACCGCTGCGCCACCGGGGAGGCCCCATACATTACCTTTAATTTTCACAACAAATCCTGAAGATTTAGTAACTAGCTGAAGGTCATTATCTACTAAGAAACAGTCTATGACTAGATCAGTGTCTGCCTTACTCTGATTCTATGCATTTTCAAATTATACTGCTTTCGGTAAATGACTATTCAGTGTGATTAAAATTATTGGTAGATATTTTATTCACTTTACAAATTGAAGACATAGATTGTAAGCTTTATTCAGTTTTTTCAAAAAAAAATGTAGAGAACTTGATGTTGAGTGGACTTTGGCAACCTTGTAATTCAGCCCCCTCCTTTAGCATAGAAGGGAATGACAAACGAGAGTAGTGGCATGACTTCCTCGAGATCACACAGCTAGTTGATTAAGGTTTTCTTTAAGCTAGTTCTGAACAGTGGTGTTTAAAACTATTATTTGGAAGAAATGCCAGGTGCCTGATTTTCCCCCCAATGGGAAAAAAAAAAAAAACCCAGAATGGCTTATAGAAAAGTGATGTTGAGGATCTCAGAGTCTTAAGGACAGGGCTCAGAGTAAATCCTGACTTTGGATCATGACACATGGAGACGCCTCAGTGGTTTTATTCATGCAGTTCCCTAGTCTTGCTTTCTTTCCTTTTTTCTTTTTAAAAATCTGTCTATAGTTTACTCATCTAATGCCTGATGAAGTTGTTACTAGTATCATCCTTTTAACCATTTAATTGCCAACCGTAGACCAACTCATAGGGATACAAGAAAGCATAAAGCCTAGACATGCTCCTGAGAGGCTTGGTTTACTTGGGATTGAGAGGCAGTGTATATTTCATACATGGTAGCATATAAAGATGCCATAAGTGATAAAGCTGTAAGAACTCAAAGGTTAGTAAGTGTGGACTGGATTAGTTGTAACAGAAGTTCCTATATAGAAAAAGTTTTGCTTAAGGTAGTTTTAAAATGAAGACTTAGAGTGGTGTAAAAGGAGAAAAAGACTGGGGAAAAGAACCGCTCACTTTAAAAAAAATTTTTAACTTTGTTCACTTTCCTTCAGCCATAATGTGAGACCCCCTTGCTGTTTCAGAAGACCTGGTACATGTTCTTCCAAAATCCAGCTGTCTCATGTCCTCCCTTCCTTCAGGTCTTAATTGAAACATTATCCCTTCCATGAGAGCTTTATAGGCCCTCTTTTTTTTTTTTTAAAGATTTGTTTATTTATTTATACAAGAACTGGGGTCC